TTGGAGGAGGAGTTCCCAACTTTGCTTGCTGTCAAAGGGTTTGACTGTGTCGCCTCTTCTGCCCATATTTTGGAAGTTATAATACTTCCTCGAGGTCAAAAGAATAGCACCACTGGTCCCCTGGGTGGGCCAGTACGCTTTGAGAATCAGTTCATTCTCTGTAGGCCGTCAGTCTCTTGCAAAATGTTCCGGTGTTCCGACACCTACCTGCGTTGTCGAAGATCAGAAGCCACCGCCGTTCTAGAGTTCTAACGTTAGCACATAGAGATGAAGTGGATGCGCTTAGGGGTTCGAACTTGTCCTCTTCAGCCACTCTTTGACCGCCATCAAGTTCTCTTCGTGATGGCCATCTTTTTGTGCACCTGGAAGTTCCAAAGCCACCGCAATGTCTGTGAAGCTTTGACGAATAGCCACTGATGTCTCACACTGAACCCAAAACACAGCATCGTAGCCTGCAGGGTTCGAATGAGCAAACTGCAAGGCAATTTCAGTCTTTCCAATGCCGCGACGACCATAGATCGTGTAGGTTCGGTAAGATTTATCATTCTTAGGCTTGAGATGGTCGGAGATCTTTTCAAGCTCATCTTTCCGCCCATAGAAGTTTTCATTCAACTCAAATGGGAGGATTGTGTTTGGGAAGGTGCCAGGCTCGTCAGGCTCTGCAGTGAGAGCATATCTCTGGCTCATGTTCTTAACCTGGAGATCCAAATTGACCCTGGTATTGATCGTAATTTCATTGAGATGCTTGACTGTCGAGTCCATGGTTCGAAGCTGGGCACTGATGCTCTCCCTCAATTCAGGCCATGACCCCCGGTTCGCTACGAGGATCATTTAGTCAAATATGCTCATGAAGGCAATTAAATAAGCTACTTACATTCGGAAGGTCCATGAAGATAATCGATTGAATCTGTCAGTGCATACAGTAGAGGGTCTAGGAAATCTATGGCGGCGATACGAGCTTCTGCTTCGTTCTGCTTATCGCAAACCTCCAGGCATCTGGAAAAAAGTTCTACCAAACGCCGTATCGAGTGCAATAAATCAGTCGTCCGTTTGAGTTTCTCCATTGATCCGTATGACAACTAAGAGGCATTAGCATACTGACGCATTTCCAGCAGCGTCGGTTGGCTTCTTACTTTCAAGTTAAGATAGATCAGCCCCCAAAGCAACTCAAACTCCACTATTGAAGGAGTCATAATGTTGGAGAACTTTCTGGTAAAAGTTGTGAGAACATGTGGAAGTGGCTGGATCTTGATCATATGTCTTCTGAAATTTGAATTGGATGGCAATTCTGCAAGCTTTACTGAAATCTCGTTGGCCAGATCTTGCCAGTCATGGTATTTGGAGGCAGTCTGATAATCTAAAGCATGTCAATTAGATTTTTCGGAGTTTATTTTGGAGAGCGTAATTACCTGATACAGTCAACCTGTCGGTCGCTGTGGTCACGGTGTCTCGCCATCTTCCGGTGAAAAAAGCGCGTGCGTCGTCGAAATCAATCTCGTACTCATCCAATCTGCGAAGAGGCGCCTTTTCTGAGAAGACAAATTCATCAAGTCTCGCAGTCGTCACCTCCACGGCTCCATCACTGAGCACCATGTCTGCGATCGTTTCTCTAGCCGGCAATTCCAGCAGCTATTTCTTCACGCCCTCGGGAGTCAAAGATTGATCGCATATGAGCTGAAGAACGTGGCGATTCGACAAGTCCTTGAAGAGTCCACACTTTGCGAAGAGTGGATAAGGATCAAGGCTGGGGCCACAAACAGCAGATCCGGCCACAGTCGTCGCTGGCAGCGAGAGCGGCGGGGCGGGGATCGATGAAATGTTAAGAGTGCGCATTTGATGTGAAGCAGGGATTCCACATTCCATGCACCTCCTCAACTGACCACCGCGAATCCGAGGCTGAAGCGCAAAGCCAGGATCCAATTGGTTTGGTGGGCTGATGCGAGTCGATGGAAACGGCGACCCCCACCCCCCTTCATCGTAAGAAAGCCTCGCCAGTCCTACGGAAAGCCGTAAGGATCTTATTGCATGATTGACCTCGCCAAAACTCTGTGTCGCACCCTGTAGCCATTAAAGACTCTCAAAGTCCATTTTCCACTTCTCACTTTCTACGTCTCGCTTTACTTCTTACATTTCGCTTTCAGCCCTCTCCCCGCCCCCCTCTCCTACCCCTATACTTATATAGATAAGAATGAGAGAGAGAGAGAGAGAGAGTGAGAGTGGGAGAGAGAGAGTAAAGTTTTTAAGAAGTAGTAGAGGCTTAGAGAGAGGAGGTTGGTGGTGGAAGTGGGGGAAGGCTGGGCCTGGGAAAGCACAAGCCGAATAACCTTACTGGTTTTGCGTTTCTTGCTGGCACACCACGTTCTTAAGGCTCTCCGTATAGGACGCCCGACTACGCAGGCGGCGAAAACTGGGAAAGGGCATCGATGCCCGATATCAGGATGTGCATGTGCTGGAAGATAAGAGCTGCATCGATGCGGCTGGACCTTCCCCTCCAGTGGGTAAAACAAACCGTGAAGCTCGATAGTGCCAACGTAAGCATGTGCGCGATCGAGAGAAGCAAGGAAATATAGTGGCCAGATCCGAGTCTGCCTTGCCAAAGACTGCCTAAGACACCTCATGGAACGGCACGGCGCGGCATCACCACGGAACAGCCTTGGCCATCAGGAAGACTTTTTCAACCACAGCAAAAGCCGAAGATCGTGACCGCTGCCATTAACTCATTTCATGTGATCCTGGTTCATGCTGATCACGGGAAACCGTCGAACATTCAACGGCAACCTATCACATCAATCATTCGGACCGGGAGTGCTTGAGCCTCCACAGGAAGGTTTGACGCATACCTGGTAGAGAGGCACCGTATCGCTTGCTTCCTCTGCATTTCTCAGGACCTGCTTTATTATCGTCCAAATGCCTGCCGTCCAAGCCACTCTCGAGTACCTCCAAAAGCTGCCTCTCTATGAGGAGGAGAAGCCTTACTGGTGCTTCCTTCCTCCCCACGAAGGTTTTGATCCCGATGCACTGCGAGTGGATAATCTGGAGTTCGAAAACCACTCGGACATCAAAATTGAAGATATACGGGAACTCGGCCGGGAAGTTACGATTGATAATTACGGATTTGAAGTCTTGCAGCACCAAAGTGAGTTTGCCCGCTTCGACCGAGCGCATGACGTCGAACAATACAGAGTGGAAACGGAAGCTCTTTTAGAAGAAAAAATGGGTGCTGTACACGTTAAATGTTACGACTCTCGACTGCGAAAGAACATCACGTTCGTCCGCAATGCGCTGGATCTAAATGATCTTTTGCTTACAGAAGGGCCGGCTCGTGGGGCTCACAACGGTAACATCATGTGGTGTGCCTTAACTCGTCAAGGACTAATTCTCGTCCTTAGATATCACTTATGAGTCTGGCCCTATAGTCATTGATCGATATCTGTCGACTGATGTCAAACGGAAATTTCTAAAGCCTGGTTATCGTATCCGCATTGTAAAGTAGGTACATCGTCGCAACAGATTCAGTGGGCTTTTCTCTGACCGTACCAGCACATGGAGGACACTAAATCCTTTGCTTGAAGATCGTCCCCTCGCCTTGTGTGACAGTCGCTCAGTCGACCCCGAGGATCTGGTTGCCGCAGATCGAATTATCCCCAACGCGGTTGGAGAGGTGTATTATCTTACCTATAACCCAAATCACCGATGGTTCTGGTTGGAGAAGCAGACCCCGTCGGAGCCTCTAGCATTCGTTATGTACGACACCAAGGCAGGTAGTCATGCCAGATGTAAGTCTTGATGTGTCCTGATCAGGGTGATCTAGACGCTGACCCATACCTGTAGTCTGTCCACATGTGTCTTTTGTCAACCCGAACGCTTCTCAAGGAGCTGCACCACGAGAATCCATTGAGACACGTTCAATTGTAATCACGAAAGAATGAGGCTCTATTGTAAGTTCGATGTTCGGTTCGAATCATCGTCATGTAAATACCTGCATTTTGTGCAAATTAGCAAAATCCAAAAAGGAGCAATTCAAAGGTTGAATTGGAGTCTGATGGCATGCCATGCATGCAGTGTGTTAAGCAGATGCAGGGAGCTTTATGTCCTCGACGCGCTCTCAGCCGCTGTTGCGCATTGCATTATACTCGAGTAACACCGATTCGATAGAGATCGAATTGTTTCAAAATATTCAAAGGGTGTATTAGACAGAGCTTTCAAACTTTGGCAGAATGAAGCAGGGATGCTCTAGCTATCTATGATCGCAAACCGAGGAGAGGAACTTAATTGAAAGTTAAAGACTTGAATACTAGTCTTAGGCGGGGTTTCTGCTTAAGGCAAAGCAGAGATTAACTCTCTTCTTTAGTCTATATAATTGATCCCATTGACTTGTCTTTGAGCCAGACCCAGTTTCCGAATTATAATCATATTTAACCTTTAAACGAAAATAGGACATAGTAATACTATAAAACTATTAAAGACTTATTATAATATATTACTAATTTACTTCGAATTCTAATTATAAATTAATTATACTCAACTTTTAGTTATAGTAATTTTTAACTATAACAAAACAACTAAAAATCTAGGTTGGAGTTGCAATAATATCGGACTTAGTGCAACCAGCGAGCTTAGCGAGCTGGCCCAAACACAGTGAGGAATTGCGAGTAATATATATACACAATCTGGTGATTAATAAGTAAATATAGCCAGTTTATTAATTAATGGTATAGTAGTAATGTGATGGGATCGCCGATCCTGCTGCCTAACAGCCGAGCATCGCAGGGAGCCTCGAAGAACGATCACTTGTGAGAAAGATCATTTACCGGGGTCTTGCGGGTCCTAAAGGACGGAAAGGCTTGCGCTAATCAGTGTTCGAAACTAGAACCATCACACCTCGCTTAAATTTTGCTTCAAAATATGATGCTCGGTATTTCGGGGTTTGAAGGATAAGGAAGAAATAGTATGGAGTAAAAGAAAAAGCCAAAAAAGAAACTTCTTATTGCCCAATTGATTGCGTTCGCCGGGAATCGAACCCGGGGCCCATCGAAACTGCTGACATTTCTGTCGTGGCAACGATGGATTTTACCACTAAACCACAAACGCTGGTTGTGGTCGGGATCTGCTTATTTAAGACCATATGCCTTAGTGGAAAAGCAGGGGTGGATCACGTGACAGAACACAGACCGCAGCAGAAAGCAGAACTTGTACATCTGGAAATCTTCGTCTTTTGAAAAAAAATTAATCATATCTTCAGATTTAGTCTTCACTTGGAGTAATTGCTCTAACCGCTGGAAAATAACTTTTTCACGGCTAACAGATTCTCGTTTCTGTAAAGACTGCCTGCCCTTTCTTCTGCGCTTTGCGGCCGGGGGCGGGCAGGGGCACTAACTGTTTGAGCCAATTGAGAGTAGGTTAGCTGGCGTAATCGGAGCATTGCAAGCCCGATGTCCTAGTATAAAAACCGAGGGTCTTTCTAACTTCCTCACTTCTCTCTTCTCTTTTACTACAGATACTCTCGGTTCTTGATTCACGGATCCTAACTCCCAACTTCCGATCCCTGGATTCTTCGATTGCCCGATTCTTCTCCCTAGCTTTTACCCTTGCAGGTGGTTCAGGCAATCCCTCGTCGTACGCTACTAATTGTCTCGCAGGCACATCGGCGGTCTGTCTTTTGTTTTGCTCATCGATAAGTCCTGCTTTGGAGCCCGTAGGGGAGTGGGAGCATGGACGAGGCGGAATACGCGTTCTTGGCGCTTGCGAAGTCTCGACCGCAGAACTGGCTGCCTGCGCCTGCGTGGAGCTGGCATAGCACGATCGTGAATGCCTTCCCTCTGTCTCACGGCATCACATGGATCAGCTGCACCCCATGGATTGGTCGTGTTAGTTTTTGTTTGCTCCAAGTAGGCCGGGCAAGCCGAGCCATCCGTCCACTCTTTGCAGTGTCTTGCTGGGCGCCGTCGATCCCCTTGATGGCCTCGATTTAGACATGACAGTCTGCATGCAGAACGCGCTGCTCAAGGGTTACTTCCTCATTTCTCACGGATGCTATCCGCTTTGCTGATCCCGCGCTCACGACCGAATCTTAACTTGGCACATCAGGCATGCGTGCATTATCCTTCACTCCGTGTCATGAATTGATTGGGATCGGTCGAACGGAGTCGAAGTTGCCCACGGTGGTCCTGCGGCAGGTGAATGACCTGTGGCTTGCGATTCCGTTCGATCCGGTGACAGAGCGTGAATATGCAGAGCAGAGGCTTTCCCGTCTTGATGGTGACGGCTGGAGATTTATGCGGCAGTCTGCAACTGCCACATTTCACATAATGTTATGCTCGTTGACTGCAAGCAGTCTGCCGATCGAGAAGTTCAACATATTCAACAGCCGTCGGCTGGACCGCGCTGTAGCCTGGCTTGTGATGAACTTGGTAACATGGGTTTCTCACACAAAGGACTTGCCACTTCTTTTGCATCTTCGAAGTCACTGTCAGTCAGCCTTTCAGACAGGATTATCTTCTATACAATTTAGACACAGGACGATCCTATGACATGGCTGAGGTAGCAACCTCGGATTTATCCGAGGGTGAAAGAGATATTGACGATATGAGGGCAGACCTGGCAGAAGAGAGTGATTTTATTGGCCTGCAAAGCTTTTACAGCTCAGCAGACAAGTAGAGGACCTCGAAGTACGTCATTGCCGCCATAGTAAGGGCCTGATTGGAGAAATCGACCCGCATTTTGAAAGGCTGTTGCAGCGTGTAGCTTCAATAGAGACACTGCCCAAATTGAAACTGACAGAGCTTCGTGGGCTTTATGTCAGAGAAAAGTCTTGCTTTCATAGGTTCAGCTGACAGGGGCCCGCAAGTTGGCAATGCATAATGTATTCATGACTTCTGGAATATTCAGACCCATCTTCGGCTACTGTACTTGCGATGCTGCAGGCGTGGAGGAGTTGTACTTTGACAAACTGTTCGAAGCGGAGGAGCACGGATCCGTGTTTTTCGTTGGGCACTGTCCGTGGCAACTTTATTCAGAAATGCGGTTTTCCTTTTGGCGAAGAATTAAGTTTATGAAACATGATTTCAGTTCCTCAGATAGACCATGGAAGCGTTGGAATTATCTGGCTTATTTCTATCATTGGGCTAGAGCGCTTCAAAAAAATCCAAACGCTGACCTCGAGGATCTACCAATTGCAATTTGAGAGCTAAACTTGAGAACTTCAGCTAAATCAAAAGCATACCAAATCCACTCAACCAGTTGTCTAAGCGAGAAATTAAGACCCTGGCCGAGCGAGCAATAGCTCTATCCATTTCTGTATGACTGCAGGCCTCACAATGTCAAACGTAACAGGCTGACCTACTTTAAAGCCGGAGTAGCTGCAATCTCATCATCCTCCCACAACGGCTTCGAATCTTTCTGAATCTTCAAGATTTCAGGTCTCTTAAAATGTCCATTTGCATCAACATAAACCTTGACCAAATCCAAATGGTTCAGATCCACCTCCGCAGTGATGATTTGATCGCCCCCTTCCTTCCCCGTCACAGGCCCCGCGATCAACTTGCAAAACGGATGCACGACAGCTGACCAGCCTCCTCCAACGTCGAGATGTGTTTGCGGCCCTATGTTCTTATCCAGCCATTCCAGACACGCCTCATCTACGTAGTTGGATGCGCAGATGACAAAGACTTGAGCTGTTAGTGCATGGTTCTTGGCTAGCGCTTCGATCTGGATGTCTGCGACGGCCTCGAAGCCTTCAGTTGTGGACAGTGCTGGCCATGCTGCAGCGAGGATTTGGTGCCCGGATTCAATGAGCGACTGGCGGGCCAGATTCATCGTATTCTCCCAACAACACAACCCTCCCACGGTGAAGCTCTCGTTCTCACTACGGTCGAATCCATAGGTCCGCAACGTGTGCCCCGAGCCTTGAGACCATATGTAGCGTTCGGCGTAAGTTGGTTGCAGCTTTCTATGGGTGCCCAATAAGGTTCCAGCCGAATTTATGAATACCAATGAGTTAAAGAGCTGATGGCCTCCTTTGACTCTCTCTGAGATCCCAAGCACTATTCCCACTTTTGCTGCTTTGCAAGCTTCTCTCACCGCCGCGAGATCTCCTCCCGAAGCACTGACCACTACGGATTGCTGTCCATACTCTATGATTGCTGATACTTGTGCTGGTGGCGCGTATGAGTTGATGAAGTACTGGGAAGGAGTCAGGATAGTCTCATGAGGGAAGCAATGTACCCACGGGAAATCCTGGGACGAAAACTTCAGGGAAAGCTAACAGCTCCACATTCTGTTTGCCTGCCTCTTCGATTAAGGAAACAACCTTTTGTAATGTCTCTATCTTCTTCATGTAAATTGGCGCTGCATGAACCGCTCCAACTTTGACTTTCTGGTCTTTCATCACTGCGCGATGAGGCGAAACGAGAACAGACACCTGGATTTATTGGGCCAAAACCAACTTTGATCTTTTCGATAAGGTGACAGGCAAGTCTGCTTACGAGTGACAGTTATCTTCGGATTAATATGTAGAATCTCGTATAATCTCCTCCAAATGTAAGTTAAAGACTTACAGAAGGATTGGAGCTATATTTATTCGAGGGTCCGCGATGGGAACAAGGTGCCGATTTTCGGAAGAGGTTCCGAACGTGGAGAGTCGGGACACCCATATAAAATTTTGTGGACCGATCCATTAGCAACCAACATGCCTTTTAATTCTTTTAAATCAAGAATAATATAGCTAATTAAGATTGATTAATTACTCCTTCTCACAAGGGTAAGCAAGATTTCATTCTATAGATATGATGTTAGAAATGCTCAACAAAAAAACCCCTATCTAGCCAGTTCCCGGAGCCATCCTAATCTAGTATTATGCCTCTTGATACGCCAAATCCAGGCTCAACTCCTTGTCGACTTTCTTTTCTATGTCTCTCTAGGACCGTACTAGGGCATCTCTGGTAGGGTGCTAGAGGAATTGAGGTCCTTTGCCAATTGCAATTTGAGAGCTAAACTAAGGCGTAAGTCCTGTCTCCGTATTCAAAGTGGAGCCTCATGAGGACGAATTCCGCGGGACAGAACAGCTTGCAGAGAAAGGGAAACCGTCTTTGAAAACGTTGATTTTTTGACACGCAACATTCTCGACTTCTAAACCAAGAAATCACTGCGTATATAAACTAAAACTAGATTGTCTACCACCCTACCCCTAAGCACTCTCGCTGGAAAATGTAAAACGAAACCCCCGGGTGCCGATTGGGGGCCAGACTAGCCACCAACCCAAAGTAGAGGCACTCGGCCAAGAATGCCAAAAACCTAGCTCTCTCTTTGAATTTAATTTAATTTATGAGAGGTTAATGAAAATTTAGTGCTTTCGTTATTTTATTATAACACTAATTAAGGGTTATTTTAAAAAATATGAATGAAATATAAATTACTATAGTAATAGTTTTTTAAATTAAAGATTTGAAAAGTTAATATATTTCTAAAGGTAAGCTTTAGAAAGCCTAGAAGTTTAGCAAACAAGTCCCTGAAACTAGATATGAGAGCCCTGTAAGCACCTAATTTATAGGGCCTTATAGGGCTTAAAAACTAGAACTTAACTAATTCGTATATAAATTCTTTAAATTAAAATTCTATTCTAAGAAATCTTTTTATTGTAAGTTAAGAAGTCAGTAATTATATTATAAGCCTTGTAATATACTAGGTTATGCTTATATGACAAATCTAACTCAAGGTCTTTAAAGACCTGAAGTGGCCAATTACAAGTCGTCACACCCAGGGGGTCATTTACGTTTTCCCGTTTTCGCGCCAATCTTCCCCAGCTCTGACGTCGCCAGCCCAAGGCCTCGTCGCGTGCATCTTCAACACCTCAAAGTGTCACAGTTCTACAAACAATGCTTTGAGATACATTAGCAGGCAGACCAAAATGGCTGCTCTAACTCTTTATGTCGTAACCTTCAACTGCGGTCTCCGGCCAATCGACACCGAAGCCTTCGCATCTCAGCTCTTCACCGGCCTCCACTCCTCCAACCTGCCCGACCTCCTCGTCCTCTCCCTCCAAGAAATCGCTCCTCTACCACAAGCATTAATTGGTGGATCATTCCTTGTCCCCT